ATGTAATGCAATGTTACGTAACGTAATGCAATGTAACGTAATGCAATGTAACGTAATGCAATGTAACGTAATGCAATGTAACGTAATGCAATGTAACGTAATGCAATGTAACGTAATGCAACGCGCAACGTAACACAGCATAATGTAATGCAATGTTACATAACGTAATGTAATGTAACGTAATGCAATGCGCAACGTAACGCAACATAATGTAATGTAACGTAACAGAACACAATGTAACTTGACATAATGTGATGTAATGTAATGTAACGTAACAGAATGTAATGTAACGAAATGCAATGTAACGTAACATCATGTAATGTAATGTAATGTAACGCAACAGAATGTAATGCAACATAATGCAATGTAATGTAACAAAACACAATGTAACTTGACATAATGTAACGTAATGCAACACGCAATGTAACGCAACATAATGTAATGTAACGTAATGTAACGTAATGTAACGTAATTCACTGCAAAATAATACAACGTAATGCAACGTAACATATTGTAATGTTATGTAACGTAATGCAATGTAACGTAATAGAATGTAATGTAACGTAATGCAATGTAACGTAACAGAACATAATGTAATGTAATGTAATGTAACGTAACAGAATGTAATGTAACGTAATGCAATGCAACGTAATGCAATATAATGCAATGTAACATAATTTAATGCAATGTAACGTAACATAACGCAATTCACAGCGTAATGCAATGTAATGAAACAGAACACAATGTAACGTAATGTAACGTAATGCACTGCAACGTAATGCAACGCGCAACGTAACGTAATGCAATGTAACGTAGTGTAATGCAAAGTAACGTAACAACGTAATGCACTGCAAAATAATACAACGTAATGCAACGTAACACAATGTCATGCAATGTAACGTAATGTAATGCAATGTAATGTGACATTATGTAATGTAACATTACGTAATGTAACGGACCGTAATCGAATGAGCCCGGTCACGATACTGGCATAATAGACATGCACGAGACATGCGTCTCACCTGAGGCTGTGAGGCAAGCTTCTTCACGGACTTGGAGTCGAACAGCAGGCTGCGACCCTTTGTCTCGCAGTCTCGGAACACGACGAGTCGGATCTGTTCCCTGTGCAGCGGCGGGTGCGGCGTCCTGTAAACAACAACAACGACAACGATGTCAACAACAATAACAACAACGATGATGGGGATGATGATGATGGCAGCAGCGGCGATGATGACGATGGCGATCCGACGGGCGTGAACAGAATCACTTACACTGTGGACTTTTTTTTTTAACTTTTACTATTTACGGTGACGTAGTTTCACTTTAATCTACGGTGGCCCACAGCAGTCAGCGTACACATACACTCATGTCATTCTGTTGAAGTGGTGCATGTGCACAGCGGTGTTTTTTTTCTAAGCACAGCGGCGCACTCGATCCGAGCAAAGAGGGAAAAAACAATGTCTACGTACGTGCGCAAGGTACAAAAAAATACGAATGTCAAATAAGAGGCGATAAACATGACAGGTAAACTGACTCAGGTAAATATGTCAGGTAATCCCACACAGGTAGGCACTGCCGCTAAACACACACACACACACGCACGCACGCACGCACGCACACACACACACACTTGCATGCGCTATCTCTAGTGTCCCTCTACATATATGACCCTTCACGCACGCACGCACGCACGCACGCACGCGCGCACGCAGGCCTGGGGACCGTGACCGGCGTGTGAAGGTCACGCTATTATCGCAGCTGTGAGAGAGAGACTACATGGTTGCACTAAGAATCAGCTGCTGCTGCTGCTGCTGCTGCTGCTGCTGCTGCT